CAGAATTTCAAGATCTTCAAGGTCTTGAAAATCTTCAAAATGATGAGATCTCTGGAATTTTTGGCGTCCCTGGAATTTATTGAATTTCTGCAATAAATATTTATGATTTTTAGGATTCTTGAAACCTATAGCATATCTAAGATTTCAGGAATATCTAGGATTTCTAGGATCTCTAAAATTTGCAAAATTTCGAAAGTTACAAGGATTTTGAAACCTTGGAATGATTTTCAGAATTTCATGATTTCTAAGGTCTTAAGGTTTTCAGAATGATGAGATTTCTAGAATCCTTACGAGCTACACTGTAATTAAGATTTCTGCAACATCTAGGATTTCTAGAATCCAAAAAATCTGTAAAATCTCAAAAGCTACAGTTTTCAATCGCTGGAAGAATCTTCAGAATTTCAGGATCATCATGATCTTCAAATTCAGACGCGTGAACTTCTGTAGAATCTTTCGGATTCCTGGAATTTATTGAATTTCTGCAATGTTTATGATTTTTAGGATTCTTGAAACCTATAGCATATCCAGGATTTCAAGGATACCTAGGATTTCAGAGATCTCTAAAATTTGCAAAATTTCGAAAGTTACAAGGATTTTGGAAATCTTTGAATCGTTGCAAAACCTCCAGAATTTCAAGATCTTCAAGCTCTTGAAAGTCTTCAAAATGATGAGATCTCTGGAAGATTTGGCGTCCCTGGAATTTATTGAATTTCTGCGCTATTTATGATTTTTAGGATTCTTGAAACCTATAGCATATCCAGGATTTCAGGGATATCTAGGGTTTCCGGGATCTCTAAAATTTGCAAAACTTCAAAAGTTAGAAGGATTTTGGAAATCTTTGAATCGTTGGAAGAATCTCCAGAATTTCAAGATCTTCAAGCTCTTGAAATTCCTCAAAATAATGAGATCTTTGGAGTATTTGGCGTCCCTGGATTTTAATGAATTTTTGCAATATTTATGATTTTTAGGGTTCTTAAAACCTATAGCATATCTAGGATTTCAGGAATATCTAGGATTTCTAAGATCTCTAAAATTTGCAAAATTTCGAAAGTTACAAGGATCTTGGAATTCTTGTAAGAATCTCCAGAATTTCAAGATCTTCAAGCTTTTGAAAATCTTCAAAATAATGAGATATTTGGAATATTTGGCGTCTCTGGAATTTATTGAATTTCTACAATATTTATGATTTTTTGGATTTTTGAAACTTATAGCATATCTAGGATTTCAGGGATATGCAGGATTCCTAGGATCTCTAAAATTTGCAAAATTTCGAAAGTTACAAGGATCTTGGAAATCTTTGAATCCTTGGAAGAATATCCAGTATTTCAAGATCTTCAAGCTCCTGAAAGTCTTCAAAATAAGATCTCTGGAATATTTGCTGTCCTTGGAATTTATTGAATGTATGCAATATTTATGGTATTTAGAATACATGAAACCTATAGCATATCTAGAATTTCAAGAATATCTAGGATTTTTAGTATCTCTAAAATTTGCAAAATTTCGAAAGTTACAAGGATCTTGGAAACCTTTGAATCGTTGGAAAAATATCCAGAATTTCAAGATCTTCAAGCTCTTGAATGTTTTCAAAATGATGAGATCTCTGGAATGTTTGGAGTCCCTGGAATTTGTTGAATTTCTGCAAAATTGATCATTTTTAGGACACTTGGAACATAGCTTATATAGAATTTCAGGAAAATCTAAAATTTCTAGAATCTAAAAAATTTGCAAAATTTTGAAAGTCACAAGGATTTTAGAAATCTTTGAATCATTGGAATTATTTTCAGAATTTCATGAATTTCTGCAGTATTTATGATTTCTAGAATCCTTAAAATCCAAAAGTTACAGGAACTTTGAAAAGTTTTCAACCGTTGGAAAAATCTTCAGAATTTCAGTATTATCAAGATCTTCAAAGTCTTTAGAATGGTGAAAATCTCTAGGTTTCGCATTTCTGGAATTTATGGATTTCAGAAGTATCTAGGATTTCTAGAATCTCAACAATCGGTTAAATAGTTTTCGAGGTTACGTGTCTAATAAAAATCGACACAGACGCCAGACAGACAGACGGAAACGAGAGGCTACTTTTTCGCACTTTCAAGTAGTAAAAAAATCATTAATAAATATCAGGTATTTTTTTTAATATAACAACAATAAACAATATATTAAAACAAATATTTTAAACATCGTCATCAAAATCGCATCTATTTTGCGTATCACGATTTTTTGGCGACTTTTCCGCTCCATTCACTCGACTCTACCAGCCCGAAGCCGGCCCTGCGCGGCCCCCCTCTCGGTGCTCCGATCGGCTGCATGTGCAGCCCGGCCCTGAGAGGGCACCACGATGGGACACCCGCTTTTTATTACCACCTCTTCGGGACACGAGAACGACGGCGAGATGAATGCCACAATATCCACGGATATCTTTGTTCTAAGACATCATCGCTGATGGCAAGTCTTCAGGAATGTTAATTGCAGCCCGGCCGGTCTGGTAGAGCAGTGACTGCGACAGTGGCGGCACGGGGGCACGGGCACCCGATCCACCAGTCCCACACCCGACGAAAAACGCGAGCGCGATTTCCACGCACCTCGTCTGATTGTGCCGTGCTCGTGACCGCAAACACGTCGCCCGTCTCAATTAACCGTGCTTGGAAGTCGTAGTGCGAAAATCGTCTGGGCGGTACTCGATAAGTTACGAAAAAATTTTGGTCCGTCGAGCCGGATCGTAGACGAAGCGGTGTATTTGGTGCGATTTCGGGTCGCGGCGGTGTTGGTTTCATCCGCCACTGGACTGCAGTGTCCCACTGCAGCCGCGACCATCACCATCCATCCGTTCCCACAATATCTACGAGGAGAAGGCACGTATGTGTCGGCTCGCCATTCACAACAGAGGCTTCGACCGTTTCATCCTTTGTGTTCCTGTCAATTGCATCAAGACAAACAATGCTCCCACGATCATTCCCGAATGATTTATTTACTTATCTACTCATAATATTATGTAGATGACCACTCGCCACAAAAAATACGGCCAACACACGAGATGTTATCGACGTGAAAATCGCTGGAAGACACTCGACAGCTTTGACTTCTTATTTATCGGATGGAAATTAAACAACAGGCGTTTAACGTTTGCGGAAAACTCGGCTGTGATTGGTCGCGACGGTAACGTAATGGAATCGGGCGTATGTCGGTTGCGTCTCGGCGATTCGAGCCACCTGTTGCAATAATTGTAAAGTAATACGAAGTAAATACGAACCGAGTCCACGTAGGTGTCGAATGGTATGCGGTAGTGATGAAACGGAGGAATAAATTCGAAAGAAAACAAGATGATAGAGACGCGGAGTTTGGTAAAAAATGTGGTCGCAGGTGGCGGTTGTGTGAATGTCGTTCGTTTGTTTATTTGACGTTTCAATTTCTCGCGGATTGTTTGATTTTGTCGATGAGGGTGGGAAAAGGTACGGCGTGCGAAGGTTGCTCGGGCGTACGTGCTCGTAAAGTAGAAAATGAAATAAGTATAGAGCGGCGAAAAAGAATGCAGTTACCTGCATAGTAATCGATTTGTTTTGTTTTCAATGAGCCTCGATAAAACACAAACAAACAAAACGGAATAAATTGAAATTTATTAAATAAATAATGTTCAAGTATTTCCACCTGGCCACCTGACAAGTTATGGGAGTTAAGGCTTCAATAGTTTTATAATTGTTAGTCAATAAATAAATCAGAAATGAAATATCCATGTAATTAAATCCATAATTGACGTCAAGTTATTTATTTTAATTATTTGTTAAAAGATTATATTAATACCCCCCGTACATAACCGGTCCGATGGTGATCGCTGCGGATAAAAATAACTCCACTTGGCGGAGTTTGTTCGAAAAAAACCTACATTGTATTTTTACAATATGATAATAGACTTAATTTCCTGGAATGTAGATACGATTTTTTTGCGATGGCTGTTTTTTTTCTTCATGGACAACTAGAGAAGGCCAAACCTCTTGTTTATATATCTCACATAAATAATGCGCATTTCTATACGCCTCCGAGTTCGGCCTGCAACACACGTTCCCAGACGATTTCGCGCACGGAAGATCACGCACGGACCTCGTCCTACGCCTCGGACGGACCCTTTCCCCCAAACACCGACCTTTTCGCGCACTTTTGCGACTATATTTAACCGCGACCATGATTCACCTCGAAAGAATTTTTTATTTCTTTATTTATAGCATGCACGCCTTGTTTTAAGCAATCACACCTGAGAAATTTCTAATTTTAATTTGTTGGAAAATTATGCAGCGACGGAGATACCACTCGGATCATGTTCGCGACAAGTGCGCGCAGGCAGGGGCAACTCGCCTAAAAACGCGCACGAATAAAACATTTTCGGGACAGTTTATCGAATAAGTTCAACGACTTAGATTTTTCCTAAGTGTTTTTAAGTCAACCATAAATGTAAAGATCCTCATGAATATGTATTGATAGAATGACATAGTTACTCCGATTTTACCAACCCATACATTCCAAGGTCACAACTGACACCTCGCTGTTTTAAGTGATACCCAAAATAGAACATACCTGCATATTAAATTATTAAAAAAATTGCACGGCCTACTGTAATGGCGAACAGCGTCCAGTTTTACCCTCATCCCCTATCATTTATTTGTCATTTCAAATTGTTACTAAATGCAATAAAAATAGTCTGAACAACAATGGAATAAAGGATGCAGATAGGGAAATCGGAAAAAGGGAAGCTGTTACAAAATTAGGAGAAAAAGGGGTGAAGGTACCTTTTTGGAATGTCCAAGGGTTGCGAAAAAAGGAAAATGAGTTCTGGGACTACGATGGAAAATTTGATGTTGTGGGGCTAGTAGAGGTTTGGATACAAAGAGAAAACTGAGAGAAATTAGAAAAGACTACCACAAGAATATGTGTGAGAGTGTCAAGGGGCGACAAAAGAAAAGAAAAAGGGGAGAGCAAGCGGGGGAATAGTAATGGAAATTCAAAAAGAAATGCAAGAATTGGATAAGGGAAGTAATAATAAAAATGGACTAATGAAGAAAGTAATACAGCTGGATAACAATCAATGGGAAATAATAACCGTTAGTAGCAAGAAAATGGACGAAACCAAGATGAACACTGAAAAGGAAACAAAAGAAAAAGGAGATGAAAAAATACTTATAGGAGGGGATTTTAACGCAAGATTGGACGATAAGGGGACAAGAATAATAGATAAAGAAAATGGAGAGAAAAAAGGATCAAAAGACAAAGCAAATAACAAAGAGGGGAAAATATTGTGGAAGATTATAGAAGACGTACGTAGGGGCTAGAGAAAAATCAGTTATAGATTATGGGATTGTCAACTAAGAGGAGTGAGAAGAAATAGAGAGTTTCAAAGTGGGGGAAAGGAGAGAATCAGACCACGTGCCACTAGAAATAACAATCAAAGGAAAAGAGCAAGAGTACGAAAAACAACAGAAGAAACGAAAGAAAAGAAATAGAAAAAAGAATATGGTATGAAGAGGGAATTCAAAGATATAGAAGTAGACTAGAAAAAAAGAAATTCGAAGTGAAAGAAGATATAGAAGCTATGATAGCAGAACTTAGCAACCTAATTGTAGAAGCTACGTAAAAAAGAAAGATTTACATATGGAAAGGGAGGAATAATGGATGGAACGGAGAATGTAGTGAATTGAAGAAAAAAGCAAAGGAAAAATTAAGAAAATGGAAGAATAACAAGGGAAGGAAAAAAGAGTACGTAAAAGCAAGAGAGAGAATTATAGGAGAAAATGTAAAGAAAGAAAATGAGAAAAACGAGGAGAAGAAGAGAAGACAATAAAGTCCCTGAAAACAGAAGAAGTATGGAGATATATAAACAAGGAACGGAGAAAGAAGACCGAAGTCAGTACGAAAATCAAGATAAGATTGATTTTGCCAAATAATATACCCGCTACCCTTCATTTTCTTAGAGGGTAGCGCATTTGCCAATATCAGTCTTATCTTAGCAGGTGTTAGCCCCACCCACCCACCCACTCTTTTCTTAGAGGATATGTCCTCTGCCAAAATCAGTCTTATCTTGCCAACTACTAGCCTTCCAAGTAAATAACGGGTGGGTGGGTGGGGCGAATACTTGTCAAGATTAGACAGATTTTGCCAAATGATGTACCTTCTACTCTTCATTGTCTTAGAAAGTATATCATTTGGCAAAATCAGTCTTGTCTTAGCAAGTACTACCTCTCTAAGAAAATAAAGGGCGGGTGGGTGGGGCTAGTGCTGGCCGAGATAAGGCTGATACTGCCAAATAACATACCCTCTAAGAAAATAAAGGGTGGATGGATGGGGTCAACACTTGCCAAAATAAGACTAATTTTGCCAAATAATATACCCGCTACCCTTCATTTTGTTAGAGGGTAGGTCATTTGCCTATATCAGTCTTATCTTAGCAGGTAGTAGCCCCGCCCACCCACCCTCTCTTTACTTAGAGGATATGTCATCTGCCAAAATCAATCTTATCTTGGCAGCTACTAGCCTTCCAAGTAAATAAAGGGTGGGTGGGTGGGGCCAATACTTGTCAAGATAAGACTGATTTTGCCAAATCATATACCTTGTACCTTTCATTTTCTTAGAGGGTATATCATTTGGCAAAATCAGTCTTATCTTAGCAGGTACTAGCCCTCTAGGAAAATAAAGGGCGGGTGGGCGGGGCTAGTGCTGATCAAGATAAGGCTGATATTGTCAAATAACATACCTTCTAAGAAAATAAAGGGTGGGTGGGTGGGGTCAACACTTGCCAAAATCAGATTAATTTTGCCAAATAATATACCCCCTACCCTTCATTTTGTTAGAGGGTAGGTCATTTGCCAATATCAATCTTATCTTAGCAGGTCTAGCCCCGCCCCCCACCCTCTCTTTACTTAGAGGATATGTCATCTGCCAAAATCAGTCTTATCTTGGCAACTACTAGCATTCCAAGTAAATAACGGGTGGATGGGTGGGGCCAATACTTGTCAAAGTAAGACTGATTTTACCAAGTGATATACCTTCAACCCTTCATTTTCTTAGAGGGTATGTCATTTGTCAAAATCGGTCTTATCTTAGCAGGTACTAGCCCTCTAAGAAAATAAAGGGTGGGTGGGCGGGGCTAGAGCTGGCCGAGATAAGGCTGATACTGCCAAATAACATACCCTCTAAGAAAATAAAGGGTGGATGGGTGGGGTGGGAAATTATGCCGAATCCTGGTAGAATAAGAATATAAACTTCAGGGTGTCCAAAAAATCAAAATAGATGTTGGTATAAAATGGCCAAAATAAGACTAATTTTGCCAAATAATATACCCGCTACCTTTCATTTTGTTAGAGGGTAGGTCATTTGCCTATATCAGTCTTATGTTAGCAGGTAGTAGACCCGCCCACCCACCCTCTCTTTACTTAGAGGATATGTCATCTGCCAAAATCAGTCTTATCTTGGCAGCTACTAGCCTTCCAAATAAATAAAGGGTAGGTGGGTGGGGTAAATACTTGTCAACATAAGACTGATTTTGCCAAATCATATACCTTGTACCTTTCATTTTCTTAGAGGGTATGTAATTTGGCAAAATCAGTTTTATCTTAGCAGGTACTAGCTCTCTAAGAAAATAAAGGGTGGGTGGGCGGGGCTAGTGCTGACCAAGATAAGACTGATTTTGGCAGATGACATATCCTCCAAGAAAAGAGAGGGTGGGCGGGTGGGGTCAACACATGCCAAAATAAGACTAATTTTGCCAAATAATATACCCTCTACCCTTCATTTTCTTAGAGGATAGGTCATTTGCCAATATCAGTCTTATCTTAGCAAGTATTAGCCCCGCCCACCCACCCTCTCTTTTCTTAGAGGATATGTCATCTGCCAAAATCAGTCTTATCTCAGCAGCTACAAGCCTTCCAAGTAAATAAAGGGTGGGTGGGTGGGGCCAATATTTGTCAAGATAAGACTGATTTTGCCAAGTGATATTTCTTCTACCCTTCATTTTCTTAGAGGGTATATCATTTAGCAAAATCAGTTTTATCTTAGCAGGTAGTAGCCCTCTAAGAAAATAAAAGGTGGGTGGGCGGGGCTAGTGCTAGCCGAGATAAGGCTGATATTACCAAATAACATACCCTCTAACAAAATAAAGGGTGGGCGGGTGGGGTCAACAGTTGCCAAAATAAGACTAATTTTGCCAAATAATATACCCTCTACCCTTCATTTTCTTAGAGGATAGGTCATTTGCCAATATCAGTCTTATCTTAGCAAGTATTAGCCCCGCCCACCCACCCTCTCTTTTCTTAGAGGATATGTCATCTGCCAAAATCAGTCTTATCTCAGCAGCTACAAGCCTTCCAAGTAAATAAAGGGTGGGTGGGTGGGGCCAATATTTGTCAAGATAAGACTGATTTTGCCAAGTGATGTTTCTTCTACCCTTCATTTTCTTAGAGGGTATATCATTTAGCAAAATCAGTTTTATCTTAGCAGGTAGTAGCCCTCTAAGAAAATAAAAGGTGGGTGGGCGGGGCTAGTGCTAGCCGAGATAAGGCTGATATTACCAAATAACATACCCTCTAACAAAATAAAGGGTGGGTGGGTAGCGTCAACACTTGCCAAAATAAGACTAATTTTGTTAAATAATATACTCCCTACCCTTCATTTTCTTAGAGGGTAGGTCATTTGCCAATATCAGTCTTATCTTAGCAGGTAGAAGCCCCGCCCACCCACCCTCTCTTTTCTTACAGGATATGTCATCTGCCAAAATCAGTCTTATCTTGGCAGCTACTAGTCTTCCAAGTAAATAACGGGTGGGTGGGTGGGGCCAATACTTGTCAAGGTAAGACTGATTTTACCAAGTGATATAGCTTCCACCCTTCATTTTCTTAGAGGGTATGTCATTTGGCCAAATCAGTCTTATCTTGGCAGCTACTAGCCTTCCAAGTAAATAAAGAGTGGGTGGGTGGGGCCAATACTTGCCAAGATAAGACTGATTTTGCCAAATCATATACCTTACACCTTTCATTTCCTTAGAGGTTATGTAATTTGGCAAAATCAGTCTTATCTTAGCAGGTACTAGCCCTCTAGGAAAATAAAGGGTGGGTGGGCGGGGCTAGTGCTGATCAAGATAAGGCTGATATTGCCAAATAACATACTCTCTCAGAAAATAAAGGGTAGGAGGGTAGCGGGTCAACACTTGCCAAAATAAGACTAATTTTGCCAAATAATATACCCGCTACCCTTCACTTTCTTAGAGGGTAGGTCATTTGCCAATATCAGTCTTATCTTAGCAGGTGTTAGCCCCGCCCACCCACCCTCTCTTTTCTTAGAAGATGTCATCTGCCAAAATCAATCTTATCTTGGCAGCTACTAGCCTTCTAAGCGAATAAAGGGTGGGTGGGGCTAATACTTGTCAAGATAAGATTGATTTTGCCAAATAACACACCTTCTAAGAAGTCAGTAGGAAAATCAAAATACAAGAATGGAAATACCACTATGGAATTATTGGGAGTTTGTGAGGAAAAATGCTGCGAAATAAATAAGGGAATCACGACGGAAGAAATGTGGAGAGGTTCAGAAATAACAGATGATAAAATAGGAAGTGAATGTGGAAAAAACTAAAATGGTGGTGTTTGGGAAGAAAGTAAGAAAAGAGAAGGAAGAGTGGGAATGGAGAGGGAAGAAGATTGAACAGGTTAAAGAATTCCAGTATTTAGGATATACATTAAAGAGCAATAACTCAATTCAAGAAATGGTCCGAAAATCGAACAAAGTGATAGGAATAGTATGGGGAATAGGAGAGAGAAAATTTGGACATGATAATAAGAGAAGAATGATGATGTTTGATAGTTTGATCAAAAGTGTATTTATGTACGGAGCTGAGATTTGGGGATGGAGGGAACATGAATAAATAGAGAGAGTGCAAGAAAAATACTTGAAATGGACATTGGGATTGGAAAAGTATACGCCGGGGTATATAGTGAGAGAAGAAACAAAAAGAGAGAGACAAGTATTAAGAAATGCATGTGAAGAAATAGAGAGAATGAGAGAAATGGGAAGGAGTATGAAAGAAGAACTGAGTGTAAGAGATAAGGATATAAATAAGCAAGAACCCAGATCAAGAATATCATAATGCAGAGTATAGAAAAATAGTAAAGGATGAAGTACCAAAGTACACACACAGAGAGAGTATAAAGGAGAAAAGAATGATGGCGAGATTTAGGTGTGGAAATGAAGAGAAAGAGAATAATTGTTGGATGGATGACACTGACAATTTATTGTAAGGCAAATAATAAATTCATACTACTACTACATTTTTTCGTAATTTTAAATTAGCGGCTTCTCCCAGTCATTTCTAGCACTAGTGGCGCCCCCTTCCACCACTTCCCGTAACAACAACTGTCAACCGTCAAAAATGTAAATGTCAAAGTAACAACAATGAACATTTAAAATACGCTGTAAAATCGAATTTAAATTAATAAGTGTGAGCTTACTAACAAACTATGAAAAGTAAAAGCCAAAGCGACCAAATTTTTAACATTTATGTAAAATCATGAGGGTCTCCAAAGGAACAATAATAGTTTTAGTATCAATGCTGCTGATATCAATTTTTCTCGCAAACGTGGTAAATTTACTGAGTACTGAAGGCATGTCGCAGAAAACCCCAACCAGAGACAAGTTTCTGCGGATCACCGACAGCAGCGACCACTTGTTGTGGTTTCTACAGGTAATAGCACCCCCGTTCGAGCACCTCTAACCCCACTTTTTAGATCTCCGACTTACACATAAGCGCTTTCCAAGACCCTTTCCGCATCATCGACTTAAAAAATTTCTGCTCGCGCACTCTGGACGTGATACAACCCCGAGTGGTTATAGCTTCGGGGGACTTAACCGACGCGAAAACTGCAGACAATATTGGGTCCCAGCAGTTCGAGAAGGAGTGGCAATATTACAAGAATGTACTGAACGAGTGTCAGGTGCGGCAGAAAACCGTCTGGCTGGATATTAGGGGAAACCACGGTAAGACGCACGAAAAATGTGTACATAACCTCACTAATTGACTTTGTAGATAATTTTAACGTCGCCGGCTCAAGCTCGAAACACAATTTCTTCGTGAATTACTCAATGCAAGGGCGGGCCAACCCGCGCTCGTACTTATACAAATTCTCAAAGGGCTCGGATGTCTACTCGTTTATAGGGATCGATGCGTGTTTGGATCCCGGCCCCCGGCGTCCGTTTAATTTTATAGGAAAAATCGACCAGAGCGAAATTGATGAAATTCAGGACTTGATTGCACAGACGGTGTCCAGCGGGAGCAACTACACGATTTGGTTCGGCCATTTCCCGACTTCTTGTATTCTTAGTACTGGGGATATGGGGGTGCGGAGCTTGATACGGTCGGACCCCAATGCGGTGGCGTATTTGTGTGGGCATTTGCATAGGCTGGGGGGGCTAGTCCCGAGGATGTATACTTTGCAGAGGGCGGGTTTCCTCGAGTTGGAACTGGGGGATTGGAAAGACAACAGAATGTATTTTGTTGCGCAATTGTGTGAAATTTTGCTGATTTAGGGTTTTAGATACCGCTTGTTGGTAATTGATCATGGGATGTTGTCGTTTGTGGATGTGCCGCACGGACAATGGCCTGTGGGGGTTATTACTAACCCTAAACATGCGCTGTTTGTCAATTCGGCCAAGGAAAATTTGCAGAGTGTGCGGGAGTCCACGCATATACGGTATAGTTGGTTGCATAACCTCAACAATTATATATAAAGTAACAATTATAGAGTAATAGCCTTCTCTCTGGCCAGAGTCGACTTTGTTAAGGTCCGCATTGACGGCGGAGACTGGATCGAACTAGAGAACGTGAGGGGCCCCCTTTTCGTGCAAGAGTGGGACCCGAGTGCCTACCTTTCAGGCCTCCACACCATCGACTTACACATCAAAGATATCCACGACCGCGAAAACTTCTATAGTCAGCCGTTCGTCCTAGACGAAACTCGCTTGTCTTTCGGTTTACTGTCCCGACTCGCCCTCATGACTGACGCTAGTACAATCGTACGTAACCCTAATCACCTGAAACCGTCTCATAACCTCACAATTCCAGTTCCGCCTTATGTTCGCAGTGACTCTATTCATGTGTATCTTCCCGCTCATCGTCCTACGACTCTTACACAGGTTGTATGAAGGTAACCCATCTCTCACGTACCGACTTTACTTAACCCGTGACTTTAAGCAAAAAAATGGTCCCCACCCCGACTTAGAGGCAACTGTTGCCGGTTGTGGCTGCGCAAACTCTGGATCCTAGCCACGGTGGATCGTATTTTCTGGCCTGTGGTCTTGTACCCCTTGTACTTATGTTGCGGCCCGTGGTCGATCGGCTACCTGGTGGAGGACCATCTGGGTGTCATTTTCGCTTGGGGGATTTTCGTGAACGGGTCGTACTTGCCGGGCTCTTTCACCTACGCTTATGGGTTCATCCAGGTACTTGGTGGCGTTTTGTAACCCAATAACCACTCATTGCTTCCAGTTGGTTACATTCCAAGTACCACTAACCTTCATTCTGGCGCACGGAGTCGACCACAACTTTCAGTACCGAATACTCAACACGCAGAAAAGAAAAACCATTTGTGGACATATCGGGTTGCATTTACCGTTTTTGTTGATTTTTGGTATACAGGTGCAGATGGCGTACTTGTTCTGGTTGGCTTATGGTACTTTGGCTTTCATTCTGGGGCCGCTGCGGACGTGGTCGCTGGTTCTGGCGGCGGTGTTGTGGTACAACGCCATTTATCTTCCGGAAAAATGCACAAGGTGGGTGGGCGGCAATAATATTTTGTTTTTATTAAAGTCGGTTTTAGGAAAGCTGCTCACTTGTTCCAAGTCGTGCCGGTGAGTGAAGAGTACGGTCCGAGTGGCAGTGCTGACGTCGGAAAACACTAGATTTAGGGATTTTTGTGTCACCAAATGTCAATCTGTTTAAATTTACAGGTGTGTGCAATAACTGTACACCGAGGTGTACGGCTCATGTGATAGTTTTTGTTAGTATTATTGTACTTTTATTAGGTTCCTTACTTCCATTCCCAGGGTCGTGTGACGTACGTAGTGACGTAAAGTATTTTTATATTCCTGTTCCTATGAAACTTTATTTGTGGTGTACTTTTTATTTAAGCAGTGTACCGTTAACGTCTTCAATAAAGAAATTCTATCGCAAGACGTTTTTTATTAACCTTAAATGACATTTGCAGACAGGGTAGTACACATCAAGAGTGACCAAGCGGTTTGGAAACTTGCATTTGAGATAAAATAATTTCTGATAACAAACAAGTTATAATAATTCACATATCTACATATGTCAAAAAAGAAGCAAACATTCTTGTTTTTACAACTACAAAACGTGCAATTTGTATGTATATAAAGCTTGTAATGGAACAGATTAGATTTTTAGCGCTCATTACTCTTTGAACAACAACATTAATGATTTTAAATAAGTTTATAAATACCGTCGTTTAAAAACATTAGTACAAACGTGCTGTTTCGTTCGACTAGTGACTACTAAACACCTTTTTTTTTCCAAAATTCCCGTTTAAAATGGCCGGATTTGACGCTCGCATGTACTCAAACAACAATGACATACAGAAATTCGACGCCAACGACATTTTAAACTCGTGTTTGTCGTTCACGGAGTGGTCGCCCAGTGAAACCATCATGGACGTGGGTACCGGCGATGGTACCGTCCTTTTCGACGTCCTCCTTCCAAAACTCCCACCGGATTTTAAAAAATTGGTCGCCTTGGATATCAATCCAGACATGCTACTCCTCGCCGAAAGCAAATCTCGACAAAATGAAAAAATCGAGTTCGTTTGTTTGGACATCGCAACAAAAAATCTTCCCCCTCGGTTCCACAGCGATTTCGACCACATTTTTTCTTTTTATTGTTTACACTGGGTGGCGGAGCAGAGGTACGTACTTGACGATATTTCCTCATTAAAAAAACGTATCGTTGTAGAAGAGCTTTCGAAAATATGTATTCTATGCTGAAGCCTGGAGGAAGTTTGTTGGTGACGCTTGTCGTTGATGATGTCCTCAGCGACGTTTATGATAAACTAGCGGAAAATGAAAAATTTTCTAGTGTGATTTCTGGTTTCAAGCACAACATTTTTCCTTACAGGAATTGTGAAAATTCTGTCGAGACGGTTACACAATTGTTAAACACTGTCGGTTTTGTCGGGGTTAAATGTGAAGAGAGGAAGCGAGTTTTCGTGCATAAAAGTTTTGCGCAGTTTGAAAGTGAGTGTTTTAGGTGGTGCTTTAAATTTAAACAAAGTTGGTTTTAGAGTGGGCTCTGGGTGTTAATCCTTTTATGAAAACTATCCCCCAAGAAGATCTTGAGTTGTATAAAGAGGAATTTCTCGCTGAGTTGAAGAACGTGGTAAAGGCTACGAATAGAATGGAAGTGGGGGAAGAAATTTTCGACTTTTATCCAGTTCTCATTGTTTTTGCTTCCAAGCCCCTTCCAAATCAACAAATAAAATAATTGTACGGGATGCTTTTTCACGTATAAAATAATAAAATGAAATTAGAATATTTTAATTCATAGAATGTAAGCAGTGAGGTGGAACATCGTCTTGTTGAAACCAAATCATGTTGATAAATTTTGTTGCTGATGTCATCTGACAATTTTGTCGAATAAATGCTATTTTAATGTTAAAAAGTAGTATAAAAAAATATAGGAAGTCGAAAAGTCGAAAAATCGAAAAATGGAAAAATCGAAAATTTCAAATTTGGGAAAACGAAAATTTTAAAAATCGAAATGCCGAAAAGTTGAAAAATCGAATAACTTAAAAATCAAAAATTCCAAAACTCAAAAATTTTAAAAATTCGACTGAACACGAATGAAACCAATCGAAAATTCGAAAAAAAATCTGCTGGTACTAGTACTATCTTGTCAAATACTAGCCCCGCCCACCCACCCACCTTCCATTTTCTTACGTGTCTAATTACGTTCTTCTGTCGAGTGCGAGTGGAAACTAAGAAGAAACTAGACCGAAAATTATTTCTGGCTATTGAAATCTACTAAAAAATGTCTTTGGCTAATTTTCGAAAATAGTTGTAAAATGTTCTAAAATATCAAAAGTGCCTAATCAGTAGTATCTTATCAAATATTAGCCCCGCCCACCCACCCTCTATTTTCTTAGAAGGTATGTGATTTGCCAAAGTCAGTCTTATCTTAGACAAGTACTAGAACTTGTGGTTTATTAATACGCTTTTGGATTTACCGGATTTTCGATTTCTAGATTTTTTATTTTTCGATTTCGCAATTTTCCGATGGTTCAGTGATACGATTTCCCAATTTTTCTCCTCTTCAATTTTACGATTTCTAAATATTTCGATTTTTCAATCTTTCAAATTTTGACGTTTTCAAATTTTCAGTTTTCAAATATCTGAAGTAATCTTTCTTTTATTTTCCCATTTCCCGACTTTCCAAAATTTCGATTTTTCAATTTTGGGTTTTTGATGTTCCAATTTTTCAATTTTTTAAGCTCCCCATTTTTCGACTTTGCTTTTTAGTTTTTCGATTTCTCAATTTATCAATTTTTTAATTTCTCAATTTTTTGGATATTTTTTTCAGTTTTGGGATATTTCAACATTTCGATTTTTCGACTTTTCGATTTTTTGATTACTTGTTTTTTGATTTCTCGGTTTTTTACTTTTTGGCTTTTCAATTTTTCGATGTTTCGATTTTTCAGTTTTGATTCCTTAACCTTCCTACATTTCAATTTTGAAATTTTTGTTTTTTAGATTTTTTGATTTCTCGTTTTTTGATCTTTTAGTCTTTTCTTTTTTCGTTTTTGAAATTTGGTATTTTTCAAGTTTTCAATTTATTGATTTTTTTTAATTTAAATTTCGATTTTTCAATTTTTCGACTGTTTTCTTCGATTTCTCAATTTTTAACTTTCCATGTTTTAATTTTTCAGTTTTTAAAATTCTAGGTTTTTCGATTTTCGAGTTTTCAGTTCTTCTAAATTTCAATTTTTCAATTTTCCGAATTTTTAAAATTTCGTTTTTACAAATTTTCCTTTTCAAAACTTTTCGATTTATAAATTTTTCAATTTTTAACTTTTCTTCTCGCCTTTTGACCCCTGGATTTCTCGATCCTCTAATTTTTCGATTTCTCGATGTCTCAGTTTTGGAATTTTTCAATGTTTCGATTTCTGGAGTTTTCAGTTTCGACTGAACAGGAATGAAACCAATCGAAAATTCGAATATGGAAAAAAATCTGCTAGTACTAGTACTATCTTGTCAAATACTAGCCCCGCCCACCCACCCACCTTCCATTTTCTTACGTTTCTAATTACGTTCTTCTGTCGAGTGCGAGTGGAAACTAAGAAGAAACTGGACCGAAAATTACTTCTGGATATCGAAATCTACAAAAAAATGTTTTTAGCTAATTTTCGAAAATAGTTGAAAAATGTTCTAAAATAAAAAAAGTGCCAAATCAGTTATACCTTATCAAATACTAGCCCCGCCCATCCACCCTCTATTTTCTTTGAAGGTATGTGATTTGCCAAAATCAGTCTTATCTTAGCCAAGTACTGGAACTTGTGGTTTATTAAATACGCTTTCGGAATTTTCGGCTTTTCGATTTCCCGACTTTTTTATTTTTCGATTTCGCAATTTTCCGATGATTCAATGATACGATTTCCCAATTTTTCTTGTCTTCAATTTTATGATTTCTAAATATTTCGATATTTCAATTTTTCAAATTTTGACGTTTTCAAATTTTCAGTTTTCCGATTTCTGAAGTAACTTTTCTTTTATTTTCCCATTTCTCGACTTCCCAAAGTTTCGATTTTTCAATTCTTCAATTCTTCAGTTGTTCGATTTTTCAGGTTTTTTTTCTCAATTTTTCGATTTTTTAAGTTTACGATTTATAGACTTTGGTTTTTTAGTTTTTCAATTTCTCAATTTTCCAACTTTTTAATTTCCCAATTTTTTGGATATTGTTTTCAGTTTTGGGATAGTATTTCGATTTTTTAACAACTGGTTTTTTGATTTCTCGTTTTTTTGATTTTTAATTTTTCATTTTTTCGGTTTTGAAATTTCGTATTTTTCGATTCATTTTCAATTTATTGATTTTTTTAAATTTAAATTTAAATTTCTCAATTTTTCAACTTTTAATTTTCAGTTTTTAAAATTCCAGGTTTTTTGACTTTCGAGTTTTCAGTTCTTTTATATTTCAATTTTTTAATTTTCCGAATTTTTAAATTTTCGTTTTTCCAACTTTTCCTTTTCAAAATTTCTCGATTTTTAACTTTTCTTCTCGTATTTTGACTCCTGAATTTCTCGATTCTCTAATTTTTCGATTTCTCGATGTCTCAGTTTTCGAATTTTTCAATGTTCCGATTTTTGGATTTTTAGTTTTTCTATTTTTAAATTTTAGATTTTCGAATCTTTATTTTTTGATTTTTTGATGTTTGGATTTCACGATTTTTCAATTTTGCGATGTTTTAATTGTTCAATGTTCTAAATTCTAGATTTTTTGATTTTTCAGTTCTTCAGTATTTCTATTTTTCAATTTTTTAAATTTTGATGTTGCTAAATTATCTAGATATTTTTGATTTTCCCATTTCTCGACTTCTCAAAATTCCGATTCTTCAGTTTTTCGATCGATTTTCCGACTTTGCTTTTTTGGTTTTTCGATTTCTCAATTTTCCAATTTTTGGACATTTCTTTCAGGTTTGGGAATTTTCGATATTTCAATTCTTCGACTTTTCGATTTTTAACTTTAGATTTTTCGATTTTTCGATTTTTAAAATTTTAGATTTTTGCATTTCCCGACTTCCCAAAGTTTCGACTTTTCAATTCTTCAATTTTTCGATTTTTTAGGGTTTGGATTTTTCAATTTCTGAATTTTCTAAGTTTATGATTTTTCGACTTTGCTTTTTTAGTTTTTCGATTTCTCAATTTTCCAATTTTTTAATTTCTCAATTTTTTGGATTTCTTTCAGTTTTGGGATTTTTCAGCATTTCGATTTTTCGACTTTTCGATTTTTGGACTCCTGGATTTTTTATATTTTTTGGGTTTTCAATTTTATGTTAAACTTTAGATTTTTCAATTTTTCGACTGTTTTATTGCTTCGATTCCTCAATTTTCTAACTTTTCCATTTTCTAATTTTTCAGGTTTTAAAATTTTCCAATTCTTCTTTTTCAAAATTTCTCGATTTTGCAATTTTTAACTTTTCTTCTCCCCTTTCGACTCCTAGATTTCTCGATCCTATGATTTTTCTTGATGTCTCAGTTCTAGAATTTTTCAATGTTTCGATTTTTAGATTTCTCGGTTATTTGATTTTTCGATGTTTCGATTTTTCTATTTTTCATTTTTAAACTTTAGATTTTTCAATTTTTAGTGTTTTATGTTTCGAATTTTCGATTTCTCGAGTTTTTAGTTTTTCTACGAATATTTTAATTTTTCAATTTTCTGAATTTTTATATTTTCGATTTTTCAATTTTTGAAACCTCGATGTTTCGAGATTCGGATGTTTCAATGTTTTGATTGTTCAAACTCTCGGTTTATCAATTTTTACAACTTTAACTTTCTGATTTTTCGATTTTGGCCTATTTATATTTCGAAACATCCAAAAATTGGAAAATCGAAAAATTAAAAAATAAATTGGAAATTCGAAAATTCCTTGACTTGAATAATTGAAATAGAGAAGAACTGAAAATCCACGAAATCGAAAAACCTAAAATTTTAAAAATTGAAAGTTAAAAACGAAAAATTGAAAGTCCAAAAAGTAAAAAGTGGAGAAGACAAAAAATCGAAAAATTGAATGAAATATCCAAAAATTGGGAAACTAATAAATTGAAAACTTGGGAAATCGAAAAGTCGAAAAATCGCAAACTTAAAAAATCGAAAAATTGAAATTGTAAATTTGAAAACTGAGACATCGAATATGTTTGTAAATAAAAGCATCTAAATAATAACTGCTTTGAGAGGCTTTTCTTTCATAAGAGCTTTTCGGAATATGGGAGTAAGTTTTAAGAGGTTTGTTGTTTTGGATTTTGATGATGAGACTGTTTCAGGATGGGCTTTAAGTGTGAACCCTTTTTTGGCGAAAATCTCCACGAAGAAAGTCGTTTCTCGATGAAATGAGAAAAGTGGCTAAGTTTGTCCATGGTGCGGCTGGTGAAGTCGATAATTCTTTCCCTTTTCTCGTTGTGGTTGCAAGAAAAGTGTAAAAACGAAGCACAAAAACTGAAATATTTATTGTTGTCGTGAAACTTACTTTTTCGAAAACATTCATGACTAAAATTGATTACAAAACTTTTAGCTCAGTGTATATGCGTTTACAACGAATTTTAGCATAAATAACATATTATTTTTATCAAACGCCTTGTTTATCTGTAAATACGTTTATAACTAACGTCGCTTAAAAACTGTCTATAAACGTAGTCTGTCTACACTAGTGCGTACTAAAACTGTCTTTTTTTTAAGAATTCCCGTTTAAAATGGCCGGATTTGACGCTCACATATATTCAAACAACAATGAAATACAGAAATTCGACGCCAACGACATTTTAAACT